CTTCTTCTTCTTCTTCTTCTTCTTCTTCTTCTTCTTCTTCTTCTTCTTCTTCTTCTTCTTCTTCTTCTTCTTCTTCTTCTTCTTCTTCTTCTTCTTCTTCTTCTTCTTCTTCTTCTTCTTCTTCTTCTTCTTCTTCTTCTTCTTCTTCTTCTTCTTCTTCTTCTTCTTCTTCTTCTTCTTCTTCTTCTTCTGCTACTGCTGCTGCTTCTTCTGCTGCTGCTGCTGCTCTGCTGCTCTTCTTCTTCTTCTTATTCTCCTTCTTCTTCTTCTCCTCCTTCTTCTTCCTCTTCTTCTTTCACTTCTTTCTCGTCTGACTTAACATGACTGTTGATTCGTTATGATGTACTTCTTTCTTTCTTTCTTTCTTTCTTTCTTTCTTTCTTTCTTTCTTTCTTTCTTTCTTTCTTTCTTTCTTTCTTTCTTTCTTTCTTTCTTTCTTTCTTTCTTTCTTTCTTTCTTTCTTTTTCATGTTTCAGTTGATGTTTCTTCTGCTTTCCATTCGCCAGCTGACATCAAACCCCATATTGACCTGGTGTGCAGTTTGCGACATGCATTTCGGCTATATATATATATATATATATATATATATATATATATATATATATATATATATATATATATATATATATATATATATACACACACACACACACACACACACACACATATATATATATATATATATATATATATATATATATATATATATATATATATATATATATATATATATGCAGAACTTCTCACTGCTTGTGACAAACTGCAGGTGTTGGCACCTCTGGTGGCTGCCTTATGCATTTGATGCGTGTGCGAGCAGTTAGATTTGCGGGATTACGATCTGACTGTTTACATCTGACGGCGATGGGCGTTTTGTGTCTTTTTCAGTGGGATAATAAATAATGGACTGACCTGTTTGCGATAAAGTTCGAACGCCGTCTGATATTATGATAACCTGATTTGCTTCCCTTGTCTGTCCAGTTATTATCTATGACTGACTGACTTTCTACCCCACCAAGACATCACACAAGCGATAAACACCCGATGACACAATGTGCCACCATGTGGTGAGGTCCCAGAAACCGCGTTCAACCATTAGGCCATATGTCTGACCTGTCTATATTGCGGCCCCTGGCAAGAGCCAGGGTGGGGCTTCAAATAACGAACAATTTCATCCTAAAAGGGACGGCAAATAATGATATGGCTCGAATTACATTATTTTCTATACGAAATGAACTCTTAAATATTAATCTCACATGACCGCTAATTTTCTACGCTCGTATTATGTTGGCTGGAGGAACCAATCCAAGTGCGCCTTTCTGCCGTCGATTGGCAGAAAGATTTCTTTAAATGACGGAAGTTGAGTTTTTGTGAGCTGTTATATAATTGGATGACACGGATGACACTTTGACATGACGAGTCGGTTGAGATTACCGGAAAGCATTTTTAAATAATTAGATTATTAGGCTCAATTTTCTGGATTTTCTAGGGAAAATAATTCGTTGGTATTGATCTGGGTGGTAGAGTAAGTGATAGGAGAAGTGTCGGTGGGGGGCAGGGTGGGGGATTATTAGTAGGAAGGTAGTATACGACGAGACACGGCGAGGTAGTGTATGAGTGACATTGTGTCTGTGAGTGTGAAAGAGAAATCGGGCGAGACCGTGCTGTATAGAGAGAGAGAGAGAGAGAGAGAGAGAGAGAGAGAGAGACCGTGCTGTGTAGAGAGAGAGAGAGAGAGACCGTGCTGTGTAGAGAGAGAGAGAGAGAGAGAGAGAGGGGGGGGGGTGAGAGAATATGTGTCTGAACGACTTGATAAAAGTGTCTTGCTATTGAGAGAGCATGTGAGTCTGAGAAAGTGAGAGAGAGAGAGTGAGTGAGTGAGTGAGTGAAGGAATGAATGCGTGGGTGAGTGAGTGAGTGAGGAAATGATTGAGGGAATGAAAAAGAAAGGTTTTTTGTATGAGAGAGAAACAGAGTCAGTGAGTGAGTGAGTGGCTGAAAGTGAAAAGTGTATTAAGAGAGAGAGAGAGAGAGAGAGAGAGAGAGAGAGAGAGAGAGAGAGAGAGAGACAGACAGACAGACAGTGAGTGAGTGAGAAAAGTATGTGTATGAGAGACATTCAGAGAGATAAAGAATATGCCTAACCCCGGCATGGGAATTGCTGGGCAGACATCATAACTCCATGCGTAGAAATTATCCTCCCCCCCCCCCCCCCCCGTTTGTTGGCATCCACGACAATTACGAAAATATAAATATAGAAATAAATTAAGTAATTAATTAACCCTTATTAATAATCTCAAGGAACATGCGCGTTTGCCAATAAAGGCATGCAGCCATTGCGTCCCATATTATGAATTCTGGGTACATTGTAAATAAGAAAGATGCCTCTGGAATTATTTACTCTTTCGCCAACCGTAGATTATTGAGATTTATGGAAACGGCCGCCATTAACCTGCTTAGTCTAGAATTATGCAGACAAACTGACATGCTCTTCACATTACCTTTACCCTGGTGAAACAGGTGGTAATGTATTCGATTTTGTGTTTTAGCTGGAAGGATTCATTTATTGCTTCGTTTTAATCAGTTGTTGATGTAGAATCTACCTGACGAGATAGTCAAACCTGTCAGGCAGTAAATTGTGCAATCTCTTGTTTGTATCTTCTTTGTTCAAATTCATAACGAAGAAACATTGATTTAATCCACTTTTTGTTTCCTCCTATACCTTCGTCGATGCATAGGAAAGTAGTATAGGACGAGACAGGGATGTTTGTGTGTCTCTGTTTGTGTCGGTTTATGCGTCTGCCTGTATGTCTGTGTGCGTATGTGTGCGTGCTTGTGTGTGTATCTGTGTGTTTCCCTGCCTGCGTGTGTGTATGTGTTTGTGTGTGTGACTGCATGCGTGTGTCTGTGTGGGTGTATGTCTGTGTACGTCGGTGTGTGTGTTTGAATGGGTCTTTTTGTGCGGCTACGTGTTTGTATGTATATGTGTGTGTGTGTTTATAGCTGTGTGTGTCTAAATGTGTCTGGGTTGTATGCGTGTGTGTTTTAGAGCTCATGTCTGTGTGGGTGCCTGTGGGTATCAGTGTAGGTATGTGTGTATGAACGTATGAATGTATGTATGTATGTATGTATGTATGTATGTATGTATGTATGTATGTATGTATGTATGTATGTATGTATGTATGTATGTATGTATGTATGTATGTATGTATGTATGTATGTATGTATGTATGTATGTATGTATGTATGTATGTGTGTGTGTGTGTGTGTGTGTGTGTGTGTGCGTGCGTGCGTGCGTGTGTCTGTGTGTCTGTGTGTGTGTGTGTGGGGGGGGGTGGGGTGTGTGTGTGTATGTGTTTGTGTATGTATGTATGTATGTATATGTGTGTGTGTGCGTGTATTGGGTGCCTATGTGTGTGTGTGTGAGTGAGTGAATGGGTTTGCGTGTGTATGTGGGTGTGTGTTCGCCCGAGAGCGTGCGCACATATTTTACCACCCATGCCTTTGTTTCTGACTTGATATTTAAAATATGCATATTATTGCATGAACATAACATGCTTTATTGATGAAATACAACTGCTGTGTGAAAGATGGGAGTTTGGAAGGGCCGAATGTAAGACAGGCCTGCGTGCCTAATTTGTAACCCTTTGAAAAAAAAGTTCGTTCGTTCGTTCGTAAACTCTTTCCCTCGAGCAGTACCAGAAAACATTGCGGGGGAACTCTCTACTCTAAGATATAACTTCAAGGTGGCCCAAATCTCCTTGTGGCCCACATAAAATTCTTTTGATAACTGTTAGATACCAGTCTAATTATCACCTTGTTCACACCAGTACTTCTTTCAGCCCCGTCAACCTCAATGATTTGGAAAAAGAATCGACAAACCACTTCACACCGCTACTAGTGACCCTGTCGGTTCCTGACCTTTCATAAAGTTTATTTTAATCGAACGGGCGTCTTGTGATTGGCTACCGGACTGTTTTATTTGTGTAAGGCGGCGTCACGCACCAAGACGACGGTGTAAACAATTGCACCTATAATAGTGTAATTATCACTGTTCAAATACATCATAGCCTAATATAACGCAACACTAGTAATTTATAATGTAGGGTTTAATGGTCATTATCGCCAGTCGGGCGAGTTTTAATAACGGTTATTATAACAGTAATGACTGCAGTCATTATTTCATGAACTAACTATGATTGATGAGGATGGGGGATCTTATGTTTACATCAGAGGACAAGACAATGAGACACCGCCTCTTCAAAGCATGACATAAGTTGAGATGTGCAATATGTAATTGTAAAACTAAAACATAATAGCTGTTGTTATGATAATGCGCGGCTTTGAACTATGGCGTCCGTCATGAATATGGAACTAATCAGAGTTTTGTTCGAAAAAACAAGGGTGGGGGGGGGGGGGGGGTGGTGGAAAAAAGAAAGATTCACGGGCCCCACAGCATGTGTGTCGTAAAAGACGACTAATTAGGATCCAAGTGCATCTGCATGAGAAGCAAAGAACCAACAGTCTGCACACAAAGTTGAGATGTCTGTCTGTCTGTCTGTCTGTCTGTCTGTCTGTCTGTCTGTCTGTCTGTCTGTCTGTCTGTCTGTCTGTCTGTCTGTCTGTCTGTCTGTCTGTCTGTCTGTCTGTCTGTCTGTCTGTCTGTCTGTCCGTCCGTCCGTCCGTCCGTCCGTCCGTCCGTCCGTCCGTCCGTCCGTCCGTCCGTCCGTCCGTCTGTCTGTCTGTCTGTCTGTCTGTCTGTCTGTCTGTCTGTCTTAAATTCTTTCTTCTTCGGCCCAACACGTTCGATTTCAGGAAACTTTTCGCCTTAGACGCGACATGCTTGTTAAGAGGCAGTGGATATATTATCTACCCCCCCCCCCCCACCCCCTTCCACCCGCCCTTCCCCAAGGTATCCAAGAACCCACACAAGGAACTATTTTACTCTACTCTGGTTTCCTTTCTGTTTGTTTAATCGACGTTTTTCTCTCTCCTTTTCACAGGGAGGATTTGCGCGATGCTATGAGATTCTGAACCTTAACACCAACAAAGTCTGTGCTGGCAAAATCATCAGCAAAACTAGGATCGCCAAACCACACCAGAAACAGAAAGTAAGTCTGTTTGTGCCTGTCGCATATGCTGTTTTAATATTGAGAACACAAAACACAATTACACACATGGTAGCCACACATTATGGTAGCCAAACGACTTTTGTAGCCACAGATAACATTCTAGCAGCTACACATTATGGTAGCCACACATGGTAGTCAGTCACGCATTGTGGTAGCCACGCATTATTGTAGCCACTCACGCATTATGGTAATCACTCACGCATTATGGTAATCACTCATGCATTATGCTAGCCACTTCCTCATTATGGTAGTCACACATAATAGTGGTCACTCACGCATTATGGTAGTGACACATAATAGTGGTCACTCACGCATTATGGTAGTCACACATAATAGTGGTCACTCACGCATTATGGTAGCCACACATGGCAGCATAGATTATTGTAACCACACATTCTCTTAGCCACAGACGCATTCTGGCTGCCAGGCACATTCTGGTAGCCACCCCCATTCTGGTAGCCAGACACATTCTGGTAGCCACCCACATTCTGGTAGCCAAAAACATTCTGGTAGCAATCCACATTCTGGTAGCCACCCACATTCTGGTAGCCAGACACATTCTGGTAGCCACCCACATTCTGGTAGCCAGAACACATTCTGGTAGCCAGACACATTCTGGTAGCCACCCACATACTGGTTGCCACCCACATTCTGGTAGCCACCCAAATTTTGGTAGCCAGACACATTCTGGTAGCCACCCAAATTCTGGTAGCCAGACACATTCTGGTAGCCACCCAAATTCTGGTAGCCAGACACATTCTGGTAGCCAGACACATTCTGGTAACCAGACACATTCTGGCAGCAACAACAACAAAAAAGCAGATGTGTGGCATCATAATCGAATGTTTACTAAAAGAGACCATAGCACGAAGGCAGTCTTTCATGCATCAGAGAAGAACAATTAGCATTAGTTGGCCTTGTTGCCAGACACTGAACATCAGTAGCGGAATGGGTGGACCGTGTACGTCATAGGACAGAAGAAACTAATTCAATTAAGTGTAAAAGGTGATATGGCTGGTGGAAGGGGGAGCACTAAGGGAGCCAATGATAAATAGTAAGACATGCTTTCGTGGGTAAAGGATAAACTTGGGAAGCAATGATCCTTTTCTTTTTTTTTTTTTTTTTTTTTTTTGAATTTTTTTTTTTTTCATTTAAAAATTTGACAGTTAGAATTTTAAAAAGATAAGGTGACGACTCAGGCTCAGTTTTAGAATAAGACAATATTCTTACATATGCACACATTTTTTTTCTCCTGTATACAGACTGGAATCCTTCCCAGTGGTACTGAGTATGTGAGGGTAACATTTATTTGTAAACATCCTCATGTAGGTTCCCGGACCCCATTTGGGGGTGGGGGGGGGGCAGAAATACACCACTTTTCTCAAACAGGTCTGTTGTAAAAAGTCGATTAATTAGTGACGTTTCCTTGGTCGTCGGAGTGCGTCTGCCTGAGAGGTAAGAACCGACAGTCTGCATACAAATAGACCAGATCTGTAAAACGGATGTACACACAAAGCTAAAAAGTTCCAGAAGAAGACCAAAGTCCAGAAGTGAAAGAACAACTGTATGCAGTTGGTTGTTCTTTGCTGCTCAGGCAGATGCACTCTGACTTCAAAGGAAGTCCGCAATTAGTCGACTCCTACGACATGCTTGTTGGGAAGGCAGTGGGTCCAATTTTGTTGTCTCCGGAAAAGGGCCCTGGAATCCACACTGGGAGTATTTCAGACAGTAACCCAGATGTTTGCTGTGTCTTTGACAGATTCTTCGCGAGGTACAGCTTCAGAAGAACCTCAAGCACAAGCATGTGGTGGAGTTCATCAACTACTTCGAAGATGACAGTAATGTTTACATCATCCTGGAGAACTGCAGCAGAAAAGTGAGTTCCCTTTTCCTGAATTTCTTAGGTTCACGTCGTCGTCATCATCACCATTGTCCTGTGCCATTATATTTCACATAGGACTCACAGGTGTCCTACAAGTATGTGTAGCAAATAAATTGTTTTAATAGGGTGGCAGTGTTGACCCCACGCCCAGCCCTCCTCCTTTTTCATCCTGGCTTGGGACCTGCTACAAACATCACACTATAGATGCATGTTTACTTCGATCATTAGATTGTTTCCAATGCGCTTCTCTGGGTTTGTGAAATTTTGAATTGAGAATCGACATCACAGCACTCTGGGATATTCCCATTAGCGCTGCCTATCCGTCTTCAGCGAGAGGCACTGATTTCTAGTTCCGATGACACCAGTAACACTTTGACTGTATATCCGTCTCCTCTTTTCCTTGAATCTTCAGCGTCAGCCTTATCCCCTGGTCACTCATTGCAGCGTCATTCGTCTCTGACCCGGATGATCTATTTATGCTTCCGCACT